ACATTAAATTGATTAAATTATAATTTCAGTAGGAAATCTACAACATACTCAGATCATTATGATTACTCTTTCCTGTTTTTGTTTCTATATCTAATTGATATATAGATTTTGCATCTTGTCCTATGACATGTACTTCTGTAGTTGTGTCCATTGGACTTACTCTTTTCATTGTGGCATCATGATTCCTCCTTTTCTTGGCTTGCTATATATGTTTGTTTCATGGTCCAGTTGGTGTTCCAAAAATATGCTCAATTGTTATATGTATCAAATACAGTCTCTCCCAGTGGTGTACCATCTGCTTATTGTTTTACATACAGTCGCTTGATTATTTTTGTTCCTCTATAGGCCTCTGGTCCTGTCTGCAGTGTACGGCTAGGTTGTTCGTCCGCCTGGGTCGTAGGTTCTTTCCTTCCTGTTGACGGCAGGTACAAGACTCGAGCAATGGTTAACGGGCAAGCACTATATACACCATTCATCTATGCTAATATAGCCTGTCTTTTAAAGCCAATGTATGCTATCACCAATTGATCGGAATATTTTCTTTCAAGCATAGCTTTCATGTAATGGAATATAAGTATCTTTATAAGTTGATTCTAAATCAATCTCATACACATACTTTGAATGCTTGGCTCGCTCTCACTTTTTGCGCCATGGTCAAGGGTGCAACGATGACTCTGTCTAATGTTTATCACTTCATAGCGCCTATATGTGACTATCTACTTTGTTTGCTAATAACATTGTAAATAATTAATCGTAAGCTTCTTAGAACACTATGTATCATTACTAAGTATCTATCTACCAGCAATAAGTACTTATTTTCATATGTTTCAATATGTGTCTGAATAATATTAATGTACACTCTTTCAATACATGGCTTACTCTCGGCCTTTGCGCCATTGGCGCAACTGGTCATCTAGTTGTATTCAAAGACTAATCTTGTATTGTATTCGATGAATCTGTTGTTGATGTGTGCTGTCTATATTTTGTCAAATTATACATTTTGTAACCTGTGCAAAAAACAGAAAATATAAAAAAAACCTAATATTCATACTAATGGCGCATCACATGACAGTGCGCCATTAGTATGCTGACAGTGCGCCATTATTATGCCGCGGTTACTAATGGCGCATCCCGTGGTCGTGCGCCATTAGTATGCCAAAGCACCTGGGTATACATAGCCCCTGGGAGGCATACTAATGGCTGGCCTATACTAATGGCGCACCAGTATAGGCGTGCTAGTAATGGCGCACCACTGGTGCCCCATTAGTAAAAATTACTAATGGCGTGCTAGTAATGGCGCACCAGTGATGCGCCATTAATGGCCAAATTAAATGCGCCATTAGTAGCGGTTTTTCTAGTAGTGTGCGCCGCCGCAATTCCACCACATACCTCACCGGAATCGGCCGCAGCCTGTTCGATTTTGGGCCGGAGAAGGGTGGGGCTAGGCGGACGGGATGGGTGCCACCTCACGGATGTGACCGGCCGCAACCGGGGGCGTTCGGGGGACAGCGGGGAATGAGGAAGGGAGGCGGAGGAGGACGGTGGGGAGCATATCTGACTCGTTTTTACAGTGCCGTTTGTAGGGAGGTAAAATGGACCCTTAAAACACGTTTTTTGCGACCATTATGACCCGCGGAATAAGGCCTCGGTCACCGCGACCCGACCCGACCCTATCAGTCCCCAAACCCCAACCCCACCCCGCGGCGCGCTCAAACCCCCTTTCTCCCTCCCTCTCCCGGCGCCCCGCCCCCATTCCCTCCGCCGCGTCCTCGCCGTCGGAAGCTTCCCTTCGTCCTCGCTCGATCCCGACCCACCACGCCCGTCGGTACGTGCCCACCGACCGACTCCGATCGATCCCGATTCCGATCCCACACACCCTCGGTCACCTGTTGTATTAATTGCCGGATGAAAATCGCGGCGGAGATCAGCCGACTTCCAGCGGCCGGACGGACCCATGCGCTCGCGCCCACCGGGATCCGGCGCCGGCCGGGACACCAGTGCAGCCGGCAGCACTGGCGGTGTGGTTTGGCGCTCTTCCGGGCGGCGCCGGCGACCAGTGCCGCCGGCCTGTTGATTGCTTGCTTGACTACATCGTGTTAGGTTAGGTCACGCCGGCTTGTCCCGCGGACGCGGGCAGGCCGATTCGTTCGAATCCGCGGCAACCCTTGCCGTACGCACGCATCATGCTGCAACGGGTTTAATTCCATTTCCTGTTTGCAATTCCCATCTCTTTCATAGTGGATTCCTTTTTCTGGAATTCTTTGGCCAATATATGATGTTTTGGCGATTCCTCCCTATTTTCAAGCCAAAGATTATGCGCGTCAATTAGTGGAAATTAAGTTGTTGCGCATTTTAGCAGGCCGATTCGTTCGAATCCGCGGCCATACGCACGCACGTTCTGCAAAGGGTTTAATTCCATTTCCTGTTTGCAATTCCCATCTCTTTCGTAGTGGATTCCTTTTTCTGGAATTCTTTGGCCAATATATGATGTTTTGGCGATTCCTCCCTATTTTCAAGCCAAAGATTATGCGCGTCGATTAGTGGAAATTAAGTTGTTGCGCATTCTAGCACTTGCGGCGACCGCGACTCTTCTAAGTCGACGATCGTGGGCGTTGATTAGTGGAAATTGAGGTTTTGGCTAGATGCGCGTTTAGCACTTGCGGTGACTGCGAGTCTTATAAATCGACGATCGTGGGCATTGATTAGTGGAAAATGAGGTTTTGGCTAGTCGCGCATTTTACAATCGTGTCGGATAATATCAAAGTCAACTTAAAAATAGCATTTCCTCTTTTATTTCCCTTTTTATGTACTGTCTCTGCCACTACACGAGATGTTTGCAGTTATAGGAATATAATTGCGAAACACACTAAACAAAGGGGAAACGCGGCAATATATAGATTTTGGTAGTCTCAGAATTGACACATGCCATTAATTGACGCATTTTCGTTTGTGACTTTCAGGTGTTGTCGTTTGCGTATTAATTTGCAGGGCTGATTACATACATCATATTAGCTTATCCCGTGGACGCGAGCAGGCTGATTAATTTGAATCCGCAGCAACCTTTGCTGTAGGCACGTGCTGCAATGGGTTTTCTTACCTTTCATGTTTGCAATTCCCATCTCTCTCATAGTTGATTCCTTTTTCTGGATTCTTTGGCCAATATATGATGTGCTGGTGCTCATGCGAGTACCTCTAGATGTTTTACAGATTCCTCATTATTTTCAAGCCAAAGATATATAATTATGCATCTTGATTAATGGAAATTAAGTTGTTGCACATTTTAGCAGTTACGGCGATCATGAGTCTTCTAAGTCGACAATTGTGGGCATTGATTAGTCGACAATCGTGGGTTTTGGATAGTTGCACATTTTACAATCGTGTCAGATAATATCAAAAGTCAACTTAAAAAAATAGCACTTCCTCTTTTATTTCCCTTTTTATATACTGTCTACACCACTACACAAGATGTTTGCGTGCATAGGAATATAATTGCGAAACACCCTAAAAAAGGGGAAATGCGGCAATATATAGATTTTGGTAGTCTCAGAATTCAGACATGCCATTAATTGACGCACTTTCGTTTGTGACGTGCAGGTGTTGTTGCAGGACTGACCGTCAGAGCTAGCAGCAGTGCAAGAAAATGGCGTCTCCCAATGAAGCTGACGACGACAATTTTGGATACCAAGGGGGGGAAAAAGAGTACATGCTGGAGACTATGCAATGCTTGCTATTTGCTAGAGAGAACCTCCCCGCTGACGTGTACCACGAGTTTGTCAAGACCATGACCGGCATTTGGAAAAAAGGGTATGTATGTTCTGAATAATTAGTCGGTATTAAATAACTTGTTGATCACATTCACACAATTCCCAACTGCAGTGCCGACCCCGATGGTGAAATAAGGAATGTCTGCCCTGAAAACTGCATAGAGACGGCCTTGAAGCTATTCCAGGGCTGTCCTACAGTTAAACAGAGCTTCCTGAACTTTACCGAAGGCCGTAGCCCCTTCGAAGGCAATGGCGATGTCGATACCGTTGCTGTCAACACCCTGATGCAGAAACCAATGGATTTTCTTTCCAGAGTGAAGGTGGTGAATAAAATCTCATGCATGGTTGCTCCTTCTGTTTGCCTGTGGTCGCTAACATGATCTTCGACTACCTTATGACTGCAGACATGTCCTTACATCAGCGACGATGATTATGCTGCTTTTTTGCAAACCATGCAAGATTTTTGCATGGACAGGACCATGACCCCTCGAGAAGTTTACAGTGATGTACTTATTATTTCTTCAGAAACTGTGTATTAAGTAATCATTCAGTAATTTCTCTGTAGAAGACTGGAAAAGACCAGCGTGTTTGATTCATAATTCCTTGTCTTCGTAGGTGGAGAGATGCATGCGTAACTGTCCCGAGCTGTTGGAAGAGTTTACAGATAATTTTCTCCCGGCAGACCTGAAGGTACCCTTTCTCATGCATCAAGGTGACATCATTCAGTGTATTATTTACTCATATGACATGGTCATCTCACCGATTCTCCTTTGCAGGCCTTAGTAAAAGAAAATGATAATCGCAGCTTGGATGGTGTCCATATGAAAGAAGGTTTTTCTGCCCCTCCTGCCCTGAACTCAAACAATCCATAGGAAACTGCAGTTATGCAGCAGGATCGGTAACTTAAGAGATATACTAATCTCTTATAGGTAATGGAGTGTCGCCTCACACTGAAGAGGACGAGGAAGACAAGGTTAAACCCTTGCCTGAATGGACTACCTCAAGAATTGATGAATTGCCCCCAAAATTGGAACCCAAGGAACTCAAAAGACATTGCACTCCTAGCTATTACCTGCTGCCAGATAATGTAAATAATCCCTACAAACCCATGAGTTTCTCATGTAAATTACTGCTGGCACAGCTAATCCAAATCATACTTGTTCTGCAACGCAGTGTATACCTCTATTGAGTTACCGGACCAAACTGGGAAGGTCTATTCTCAATGATGCTTTGATTTGTCCGGTATCCGAGGAGGAAAGCCCTAACCATAAAGCTGCAAATGAATATGAAGCAAAAATGTTGCTTTGCGAAGAAGACATGTATGCACCAGTTGCTAATTTGTTCATTATTATTGTTCATCCTTTGTTTTATTCTTAAATATATCAGCGAATAACCGATGCTTTTCGTAGTGCACTGTTGTCTTGAAGATGAGTGATTCACTGCTGTGTTCTTTCTTCAGGTTTGAGAGTGACATGCTCCTGCAGTGGTTTAGTGTGACTGCGGACTTCATTGCGAATCTCCAACATCGTGCTGGCAGCGATGTGAAGATTAAGGAACAACTAACTCGTAAGAATGGGTCACCGTCACCGGAAACGGAACTTTGAGTCGGCCTCTTTGTACGTTCAGCTAACTAACTATTCCTTTTTTGTTTGTTTTTAATTGTACAAAGCTCTACATAGGAGGTGCATCATAAGACTATATGGTGAGGATTTTCTTGAAGCTCTGTTGGATACCGACAATGCTAGTGCTGCTCTCCCTGTTATACTTTCTCGTTTGAATCACAGCATAGTAGAACTACGGGAGGCACGATTGCGTTTGCAAAAGACTTGCTCAGAAGTTATAGCAAAAAATTACTACAAAGCACTTGATCATCGCGGCCCCTGTTTCAAACAATTGGATGCAAAGAGAATGAGCCGGAAAGGTAGTTTCAACTTCCACTCTGCCTCAAATATAATGGCACTTGTAACCAGCATTGGGCACTGCTTCATCTACTCAAGAAAGTTTTTCCATCTTTTTTTTGTCTTGTTAGTCTTATTTTCATACATATTTCCCGTGCAGCTTTGCTGGCTGAAGCCAAAGAAATCAATGCAATGAAGCCAAAGGCTGAAGATCAATATGCTAATCCTGACATACACAAGGACATAAGCAGCATAATCTCCTCTGCATGCGCTTCTGAAGAGAAGCAGATGGTGACTTGGACACAAGTAGTACATCCATTTCTTTCTGCTCACTGTGCACGGCCTTCATCAGAGGAAACTGTAGCTCCTGAAAAAGCTTGTGAACATTGCGGCACCAGAAAAGATATTCTCAACAACAATCCTGATGCTTTCACTGACAATAATCTTCCTCTGTCCTCCAAGGTAATCATACACATAAGACATAATATTCTGTTCTTCAGAATTGTGTCCCAAATTTTGAATATGCAATAACATGATTTTGTTTAGTATCCATGTTTTGTAACCTGCACCCTGTCAATTTTTATTTCAGAGAGGTGAACTCGTAAGCAAAAATTCCAAAGACTTTAGCTCTTCACACGATGGTTCTGGTGCAGATATTGAGGAAGGCGAGTTCATACCCGATCGAGAAACCATTGTGTCGGATGTCATCCGTGGTGCCGGAAAAGAACCAGTAAGTTGTGATGTTGCTGGTTCTGTTAGAGATGGTTTGAGCTCTCGTTACCGCATAATCGATACTTCCGAACCTAGTACTCGTGACCATGGGGACAAAAATGAAAAGCAGCAAGAATCAAGGCAAACATCTGCTAAACCGCGTGGTGTGAAAGGAGGTACTTGTTGTTTCCTCGTTCTGCTTCGCAGGCTTTACCAGGTATTCATCTTGCTCTCTGCTTTTTGGTTGGAAGTCAAAGGAATATGGTTTCATTTAAGCAAACTACATATGTTCTTGCAAAATAATTTTATTTATTTTCCCTTGTATGGCAGATTTTATATAACAGACTACAGAATGCGAGAAATTTGTGCACCAGTGACAACCTATATGCAGAGTAATGTTTAGGATGCATATCTATCTAAACAGAATTGCTCATATTTTTTCACCATAACTTCTTTATTGAATGGTGCAGATTTAAGGAGAAACTCACCAGGCTACATTATCGCGCTATTGATAATTCCAATTTTGAGGATTTCTGCCTGAAATATCTTGGGCCAATGTCTTTTGAACTTTTTACTCTGGATACAGTGATAAACCAAGTTATCAAGCAGGTAATCTATATTAGTATGGGGTAGTGACTGGGAATTCTGACCTACCTATTTTTCTTCATACCTAGATCATTTAGCGCTTGATCATTGTAATTAGTTAATTACGTATAGTTAACACTGCTTATTCGTGTGAGATATAGTTAGGCGCATAACTGATAATCCAGTCTTACTTTCAGCTGTGCATAATTTCTTCCAAGGATCCAGACAACTCAATCGTTCAATTCCTTGAGAACTTACAAAGGCCAATTCTACCCAATGAATTGCCAAAGCATGATCGAGAGGAGCAGGGGAAAGCTCTTGATGATACCGTAAAAGTCCCACGCCATTTTGAGAGACGGTAATGATCCCCTAAAATGGACTATATTACTCTGTACTGCTTTTAGTTCGTTTTCATTAGACTAACACTATGCATGTTTTCCTAGGAAAAAACGCAAGTTGGAGAACAGTGCAACAGGTTCCTGTCAGCTTGGAGCAGTGGCTGAAATTAACTCATAACTGAACGTTATACCATTTTTTTTTGCGGGGATAAAACTGTTTTATTCCAGGATTATAGAGTTAAAGTGTTTTATTGAATGTTATACCTTGGTGTAATACTGTAATGTAACAAGCTAGATGTGATTATTCAAAGTATCATTAAAATTAAATAGAGAAACATTATTTTGTTTGTTATGAGAAATTACCCTAGTACCATAAATTTAGTTTGAAAATAAAAATGATAATTTACCTTCTTTTTGCGCAAAAAACTATTCAGGGTATGCAATTGATGATTTTGTTTGCTAGAAAAACTACTCTAGTCCGTTGGATTTAATTGAAACATAAAAGTGATAATTTACTTTGATAAGCGCAAAGAACTATAAAAAAACCAGTAGGCGCGGTTAAATTGTGTGTGTGTTTTTGCATCACGTAATTATTGGGATTGGGTGATACTAGCCCACACTCCCATCCACTGTTGAGGCGGTGAGGTTATGGTTTGTTGTGCTAAGGACAGGTTTGAGCTGTACAATTCCTATACAACCGTAACATCACGTCAGGCATGTAGCAGGCCTTGTGCGAAAGAAGCAAAAGCCGGTCATATGATACAGCTCTAACATCCCATTAGTGATTTTTTTTCTGTGAAAAAGATTGGACCTATTATAAATGTGCGCCAGCAGTACAAAGCATCACAAACATAATTAAAACGGCATCGAGATTCTGAGACCACCGAACAACCACTGTTGCCCCAGAACGAGTCGCCGACGCATCTCTGTCCTCCCTTGGATTATTCAGAGGAAAGGCTCGATGAATGTTTTGATTTAGTTTGATAGTTAGTCCTTATTTTAGTCCTCTCTGTCGAATTTGGTGAAAAACTAGTCAGACAACAATTTAATCTTTTATGCTGCATTGGGTCAAATAATTATGCGTGCAGATAAAAGTTTTGATGAATTTTATTTTACTTGACAGGGATCTAGCAGAACACTCATTTAGGTAAACCATTGATTTCATTTAGTCACACTGTGACTTTACATTCTTACCATTGAACTACATTATTTAAACGAATAAACTAATTGCGGTTACTGGCGGCGGTGGCGTCTTGTGCCAGCATTGACATACTCCGAATTGTTGGACCAACCTTCAACTAAGGAAACAATGGCTTGGACTTTCCGCCTCCACGAGCCGGTCGACGGGCGGGGCAGCGGCGACCGGCGACGCTGGAGGGAAGCGGTCGATGGCGACGTCCCATGCCACTGGGGTGGGCACTGGCACCGGTGCAGGGATAGGTGCATGCACATGCACTTGCATGGGCACAGACGGGGGCGCTAGTGACGGTGCAGGAGCTGGCACGTGCACCGGCGCGTTCACGTCAGTGGGGACCTCGTAGAGCCCCGCGGCTTCTAGCTCGGCCACGATGTGTGGTGCCCAACCCATTAATGCCACGGGGATAGTCGCTTGTGCCGGCGCTGGGATGGGAGATGGGACGGCCGCGGGGGTAGCCGCGACGACTTCCTCCTGGGCCATGTCGAAGTCATCCCAATACTCCTTATTTTCCATCTCCTCCGGCTCAGAGTCGACTTCACCAAACCGGAACACCAGGGGCAACCGATCCTTCTGCGCCATGGCGTACGTGGAGGTCTGGATGATTGGAGGTGGGCAAGAGGGGAATCAGAGGCGGAGATAGGATTGTGGCGGCACCTATGTGGTTGGTCGAACGCCCACGGTTTGACTAATCAAACCGTTCGCGAGAATGTCATACCTCGTTGTTCAACGTTTGCAACTTTTCATAAGCAGGGAGTTGATTTGACAAGTGGGAAAGGGCAAGTAGGGGAGGATAGCGGTGGTTGGTGGTTCGGTTTTAACATCTATATATATAGATATATTCTAGTTGGGGCATTAAATCGCGCATTTAATGGTCAACGGCTTCATATTTTTAAATCTATATATATATTTCAACGGCTATTTTTCTAGCCGTTATTATCTAACGTCTCTTTTTTCTACCACGAACTGTACTTTCCAACGTCTATATTTCCGTAGTCTATATTCAATGGATATGTCTGTCTGGGCTATATATGGAATGAAAAAAGAAATTAATTGCGTGTGGATGTATTTATGTATATATTCAGACTTGAGATTTGATTTGATATTCACTGGCCTCCAACACATGCACAGTTGTTTGAATGGTCACACTATTTTTTGGATGATTTGCTCAATTCCAAGCACCACTCTCGCTCCCTCGACACCTCCGTAGTGCTCTAACTTGGCCTGCAAAACGTACAGCTTCACTCGGTCTAAAGAAGAAACAAGAAGGAAGAGGCAGGACGACATCACAAGGACAAGAGCAGCGGCGCCCAGGAGCTTGACCGCTACGGTCCATCACTCGTTGAGCGGCGGCGCCCAAGACCGCTTGATTACGGTCTCCGCTTTGCTCGGTCACAAGGCATACAAAATAGCTTGGGTCGTCCTACCATAGAAGGATGATCGATGTGTAGTTCTTGGGGGGGTGGGGGGCCGGGGTTCATCCATGAACCTCGAGTATGGCATGCCAATGGGTAGGCTGAGCTAATGTTGATGCATTAAGGAACGAGTAAAAAGACTTGCCGGTAACGAGATTGAACTAGGTATGATGATACCAACGATCGAATCTCGGGCAAGTAACATACAGATGACAAAGAGAACAACGTATGTTGTTGTGCGGTTTGACCGATAAAGATCTTCGTAGAATATGTAGGAGCCAATATGAGCATCCATGTTCCTCTATTGGTTATTGATCGGAGATGTGTCTCGATCATGTCTACATAGTTCTTGAACCCGTAGGATCCGCACGCTTAATGTTCGATGACGATTTGTATTAAGAGTTATGTGTTTTTTATGACCGAAGTTTGTTCGGAGTCCCGGATGAGATCACGGACATGACTAGGAGTCTCGAAATGGTCGAGACATAAAGAATAATATACTGAAAGGTTATGTTCGGACACCGGAATTGTTTCGGAAAGGTTCAGACATTTTCCGGAGTACCAGGAGGTTACCGGAACCCCCCAGGGGATTAATGGGCCTTCATGGGCCTTAGTGGAAGAGAGGAGGCGGCGGCCAGGTGGAGGCGCGTGCCCCCCCCTTGCCCAAACTGAATTGGACTAGGGGTGGGGGGCGCGGCCCCCCTTTCCTCCTTCTCCTCCACCTCTTTCCCTCTTCTCCTATTCCGAAAAGGAAAGGGGAATCCTACTAGGACTAGGGAGTCCTAGTGGGACTCCCCACACTTGGCGCGCCCCCTAGGCCGGCCGCCTCCTCTCCTCCTCCTTTATATACGGGGGCGGGAGGGGTGGGCACCCCAAAGCAAATCAGTTATTCTCTTTGCCGTGTGCGGTGCCCCCCTCCACAGTTTACCACCTCGGTCATAGCATCGTAGTGCTTAGGCGAAGCCCTGCGCGGATCACATCATCAACACCGTCGCCACGCCGTCGTGTTGACGGAACTCTTCCTCGACCCTCTACTGGATCAAGAGTTCGAGGGACATCATCCAGCTGAACGTTTGCTGAACACGGAGGTGCCGTACGTTCGGTACTTGGATCGGTTGGATCATGAAGACGTTTGATACGTCTCCAACATGTCTATAATTTTTGATTGTTCCATGCTATTATATTACCTGTTTTGGATGTTTATGGGCTTTATTTTATACATTATTATCATTTTTGGGACTAACCTACTAACCGGAGGCCCAGCCCGTATTGCTTTTTTGTCTATTTCAGTATTTCGAAGGAAAGGAATATCAAATGGAGTCCAAACGGAATAAAACCTTCGGAAGCGTGATTTTTGGAATGAACGTGATCCAGAGGACTTGGGGTGCAAGTCAAGAAGCAGCCGAGGCGGCCACGAGAGGGTAGGGTGCGCCCCCCTGTCTCATGGGCCCCTCGGGCGGCCACGGACATACTTCTTCCTCCTATATAAGCCTACGTACCCCGAAAACATCCAGGGAGCAACCGAAACACAATTTCCACCGCCGTAACCTTCTTTATCCGCGAGATCCCATCTTCTCTGAATTCTTTTATATGATTGAGTTATCTTTGCAAGTCTCTTCGAATTATCGGTCTGGTTTGGCCTACTAGATTGATCTTTCTTGCCATGGGAGAAGTGCTTAGTTGTGGGTTCAATCTTGCGGTGTTCTTACCCAGTGACAGAAAGGGTTGCAAGCCACGTATTGTATTATTGCCATCGAGGATAAAAAGATGGGGTTTATATCATATTGCTTGAGTTTATCCCTCTACATCATGTCATCTTGCTTAATGCGTTACTCTGTTCTTATGAACTTAATACTCTAGATGCATGCTGGATAGCGGTCCATGTGTGGAGTAATAGTAGTAGATGCAGGCAGGAGTCGGTCTACTTGTTGCGGACATGATGCCTATATACATGATCATGCCTAGATAACGTCATAATTATTCGCTTTTCTATCAATTGCTCGACAGTAATTTGTTCACCCACCGTAATACTTATGCTCTCGAGAGAAGCCACTAGTGAAACCTATGGCCTCCGGGTCTATCTCTTATCATATTTGCTTCCAATCTACTTTTATTTGCATCTTTATTTTCTGCATCTATATTATAAAATACCAAAAATATATTTATCTTATCATATTATCTCTATCAGATCTCACTTTCGCAAGTGGCCGTGAAGAGATTGACAACCCCTTTGTCGCGTTGGTTGCGAGTTCTTTGTTTGTTTGTGTAGGTTCGTGGGACTTGTTGAGAAGCCTCCTACTGGATTGATACCTTGGTTCTCAAAAACTAAGGAAAATACTTACGCTATTGTGCTGCATCACCCTTTCCTCTTCAAGGAAAACCAACGCAAGCTCAAGACGTAGCAACGTTCGACTACATCAACCGCGTTAACTAACGCTTCCGCTTTCGGTCTACGAGGGTACGTGGACACACTCTCCCCCTCTCGTTGCTATGCATCTCCTAGATAGATCTTGCATGATCGTAGGAATTTTTTCGAAATTGCATGCTATGTTCCCCAATAGTGGTATC